CAAGGTCAACACTCTACCACTTGAGCCACAGCACCACTTCCAGCTTTTTCTGCTTATGTGGTGCTGAGGAATCTCTACCACCGAGCCACTTTCCCAGCCCCTACCTTATCTTTTTATTTGGCATAAGGGGGCAAGTGGCTGCATGTGATGTCCAAGGAACTCCTCCTAGAGTTCAGGCCTGGTGTCTACAAACCTCATTTCAATAACAGACAGACTGGTCAGAGTGGTTTAATGCACTTCTTGTTTCTATAGATGATTCTTTGGGACTTAATGTGACCCCTTAGGAAATACCCTCTAGAACAAGTAACACATATTGGAGTAGAGAATATCTCTCATATCGTAACTACCAAAAGCAGCATCCTGCCAGAATACTGCCTCAATTCTAGGAGTATCCAGCACTGATAGGTAGTTGGGGTATGGGAGCATCCAGCATTGATAGGTAGTTGGGGTGTGGGAGTTAAAGACATTTGTGGTCTTTTCTATTACACTTAATAAACATGTTTTGTTTTCTTGTTGTTAGGTGGGATAGAAAGGAGTACTACATTCAAATGGTCCAAAGAAAAACACTTGACTAGTTTTGTTCCCAATTCCTTCAGCCACCTCCAGGTGCCCTCTGCAATATCAAGGCACCATGACTGCTCATCTCCCATACATAAATGTCCTATGGTTCCACAGCCATGCTGAGGTCCACCATGGTCTAGACGTTGTTTGGAGGAGGCAACCAGTGGTGGATTGAGATGAAAGCATTTTGAGCTGGCTATTAATTATTCTCCTATTCCAGTAACAGAAGTCCAGCCAGTCTTAAACATAGGAGAGTCTATTGTGTGTAGCATATGTGAAACAAGCAGTTACAGCCAGGATGGCAGTCCTGGGAAGCCATCAGGAATGCCTGCTTCTCTGACTTAGAGTTACCTCATGATCCATTATAGCTTATCCAGGCAGTGGGAAGGAAAAGAGATTCTTCTAAGGATCCTTTGTAGTGGATTTACTAAGTCAATTCTACTCAGTGCTCACGGGCCCAAACTTAGGTACAAGTTTCTAGTTAACCATAAGAGAGGCCAGGGAATATTTGATTTAGCTCTGCACAGTTTTGGTCGGAAAACAATGAATTCTGTTAACTAAAGAGAAAATGAGTGAATTGAGAAATACTAGTTTTGTGACATATCTGAACAGCAATATTTCCACCTGCTTGGGCATAAGCACTGGTCATTAAAAGAATGATATTAGCTACATTTCTTATTTTTCTTTTTCTTTGTATCACAAAACTTTGGCAGGAACCTAAAAGAGAACATCTGATATCCAGCATTGATCAAAATCTCGGAAGTCCACTCCCACTGCCACAATTCCTAATATTAAGAGTCCCACAATATTAAAAAAAAACAAAAACCTGTATTATAAATTCCTAAAGGATAAGATCCTTAAAATCAAAATCCTGAAAGATTACTATCCAGAATGTTGAAGTCCTAAAAGATGCAATTTGAAAAACCTCCTTAAGCTTACATAAGAAGAGTAAAGTCTGGGCTGGGAAGATGGCTCAATGGTAGAGCGCTTGCCTTTCATGCATGAGGCCCTGGGTTCGCTTCCTCAGCACCACATAAGCAGAAAAAAAAAGCCAGAAGTGGCGCTGTGGCTCAAGTGGTAGAGCGCTAGCCTTGAGCTGAAGAGCTGAGGGACAGCGCCCAAGCCCAGAGTTCAGGCCCCACGACCGGACCCCCCAAAAAAAAAAATATAAAAGAGTAAAGACAAATTTAAGGGGAAGTAATTGGCTACAACGTGACAAAAAAATTCAGTTTTTTTTCCATCTGTCTATATGGATATTCCTTACAGCTGGTGAAATATAGAAGCTTTTAATGATTTAAAGGTGACTTGAAACAGCCACCCCGGGGATGAAAGGCAAATTCTGGACCCTTAACCCATTACCCATTCAAAGCATGCTTTCAGCAACTTTGTCATAAGATACAAGATTGGGTAAACAAGGCTAGAATTTACAGATTAGAAGCCCCTATGACTAGATCAAACAAAAACTAATAAGTTTCAAGATGGCTGACTAAATGACACACAAAGATGACAGGGAACTATACTGAATAAAAGGATCTAAATAAGCTAGCCTTACTTGCTCTCAGTTAACTTAGCAATCACTAATTTTGGAGGTCACACAAGGGGGCAATACATTATTCGTTTCCCACTGGCTAACATGTCTGACATGCAGATTATGGTACTGGTTGCCCAGGTTAATTTGCAGTAACTTGTCCACCTTTGCTATGAATACTGACTCTAGGGCTTACAGTTATCTGATGGATAAAACAGGATAAAAGGCTCCATATTGTATCTGTCACTGAATCAGACTTTACTCAGCTCTGTATGTAGACATGTTGAGCATTTAAGGAAATTTTTGTCCATTATACAGGATTAACTTGGCCTGTTGTCTATCGGAACAGAAGTTTGTTTTTCTTACTCCACCCTTCTGCTTTCCCAGCAACTCAGGCACCTAAAGTCCCTCAACTAGAACATTTATGCAAGATGCTGATATTAGCAAGAGGAGAAACTCAAAGTTCCCGAGTTAAATCATCACTGCCAGTTAGCTTAAAAAACACATACACACACACAAAAAGAAGACTGCTTGCCCGTGTTTTGCAACCATGCTCATGACTAATGGACAAATTACCAAACTTTGCCACCCCATCCTGTAGCCTGATCCCCTCTCAATCACTGCTGTTTCCCTTCAGCCTAAGCGGAAGTCATCCAGCTCCAACTGAAATCCCAATATAGGAGCTTTGCTTGTCCTGTTTTAATACATGGCTTGTTCTCATGCAGTTTCCTTGCCATAAAATCCTACTGTCAATATTACATTTGCTTGAAGAAGCCAGCAAATAACTCACTGACAGGAAAATAATGGTGTATATGACTGGACAAGAAGACACACCCAACTTGGCATCTCACTCACCAGTACCATTTCTGTGGTCTAGGTAAGAGTGAGTATGGACTGGAACTCACACTCTGAAAGATTGAATTTAACCCTGCCTTGTTTGTAGGCAGTTCAAGTTTTGAAACTTCCCCCCTCCTCCTGCCCCTATAACTTCCCAACTTTTTGCTGTCTCCTCAATTTCTGATTGGCATTCTGTTTCGTATCTTGCATGGAACATGGGTCATTACTTTTGGACCTGAAGCTTGATATTACCCCCCTGTTCTGACCATGGACCATTTGTCACTTGTAATACATTTGTCTCTCAAACCTCAGTGAAGCCCTAGATTCTTTTTTTTTTTTTAGCCCTAGATTCTTAAGAGTTTCCTTTGACTGCCAATCTGACTCTTCCCACCCTAGTTTATAGTATAATTACACTGGCAGTGAACTGTGGAAACCAGAACAAAATGGAGGTTAAAAAGAAAGGTTTTTCTGGGCTGGGAAGGTGGCTTAGGGAGAGTGCTTGCCTTGCATGCATGAGGCCCTGGGTTTGATTCCTCAGCACCATATGCAGAAAAAGCTGGACGTGGCATTATGGCTCAAGTGGTAGAGTGCTAGCCTTGAGCTGAAGAGCTTTAGGATAGTGCCCAGGCCCAGAGTTCAGGTCCCAGGATTGGCAAAAAAAAAAAAAAAGTGGCTCAGTGGTAGAGTGCTTGCCTTGCATTCATGAGACCCTGGGTTCAATTCCTCAGTACCACATAAACAGAAAAAGCCGGAAGTGGCGCTGTGGCTCAAGTGGTAGAGCACTGGCCTTAAGCTGAAGAGCTCAGGTTCAAGCCCCACGACCGACCAAAAAAAAAAAAATTTTACTAATGGAACTAAAGCATTGAGTATTCCCTTGAGCCAAATAAAGGAGGTTGGCATTTGTTACTGAGGCAGGGTCTTACTGCTTCAAATTCACAATCAAAAGGCAGTAACTCCACAATAAAAGATAGTAGTGAAGAGGAAGAAATTTCAAAGAAAAAATTTAAAGACAATGACAAGTCACTAGTGAAATGGAGGAGGTGATTTATAAGCAGCTGAATGAATCAAAAGGATTCAAATAACTAACTGAGCTCAAAGAAAATTCAAAGAAACGGATGAAATAAAGAAGGCAATGCAGGACATGAAAGAGGAATTCAATTGATATGGAAATCCTAAAAAATCAAATTGTAGTCTTAGGAGATCTCAATAGGTCAAATTGAAAAGAAGAAAAACTCCATTGAAAGTTTGATGAATAGAAAACAGGATGTCAGATAAATGAGAGGTATTAGAGCAATCATTTAGATACTGAAAAATCACTAAGAAAATAGATGGATTTACAAGACTGTAGGATACAATCTCAATACTAAACCTATAAATCATGGGAGGGAGGAGGGGAAAAGGAGGGAGGGGGAAGAGGAGGAAGAAAGGGGGAAAGGAAAGGGAAGGGAAGGAGAAGGGAAAGGAGGAAGAGAAGAGACACAGACTGAAGGCATAGATAACCTACTGAAGAAAATAATAGCAGAAAACTTCCCCAACCTTGGAAAGAGAGGGTCATCGAAGTAGAGGTTTATAGAACACAAAACAGGAAAGATCAAAGAAGAAACACCCCTATATTGTAGTTAAAAGACCAAATACAAAGATCAATGAATATTGAAAGCTTCACTTTGTAAAGATGTGGCTTGGTGGTAGACAGCCAACCTCACAAGTATGAGGTCTTTAGTTTAAACCCCAATACCACCAAAAGAAAGGAAAGGAGGGAGGGATGGAAGAAGGGAAGGGAGGGTAAGGAGGGAGAGGAAGGACAGAACAAAAGAAAAAAAAAGAAAGATGGAGACCAGCATTTCATCAGTAGAACGGGGACACAAATAGGCTAAGGTAAACATCTAAGGAAGCCTAATAAAGGCAGAAAAGAGCAATGGATAAAAACAAGTTATCACGTTCCTGAAGGGAAGGGCTGCTTTTTTCCCCCACTCACCATAAAGGGTCATGGCTAATACCCCTATGATAAAGGATAAGTTAGCAAGAGAAATGCATAAGAAATTGTTTATTTTTGGTTCTAGGAGTAGAGTTCAGGTCTTCATACATGCTAAGGATAGAGCTAGACTGCATCCCAGTTCTCATTATAAGTATATTGAAGTATATAAGTATAGGAATCTTAAAAATACAAAATTCCAAGGGAGTCCCATCTGGTTGGCGCCTAAATGGTCTTCGTAGGGGAAAGGTAAGTAGAGTCTATAGGCAAAAGTCAAGCATGAGTTCTTGATGTGAATCAACTCAGAACACACAGTGACCTCTCTGGGTCTGGTATATGCTATAAATCTTTCTCTGTGACATGTTAAGTCCTTCTTGGCTAGGGAAAGAAGAGTGAAGATAACTGTGCTCTTCTTTGGTGGCGTGGTCTTTGTGCCTGGAAGGAAACATCATGGAACGCCTGTCCCTGTGCTTTGGAAGAGAAAGAGGTTCAAAGAAAGATCAGAGATTCTTTGGTTATGAGAATGCTTTTCTAGTTCAGAATATCAAAGTGCCACACATTGGAGTCCCCTCCCCTTCTCTCTGACCCTTCCTTCCTTCTTTTTTTGGTGGTACTGAGATTAGAACTGAACTCATGCTTATAGGGCAGGTACTCTACCACTTGAGCCTCTACACCAGCCTGTTTTTGCACTTGTTATTTTTGGCTAGGGTATCACTTTATATCCAGGCTACGACTGCAGCTTTCTATCTGTGCTTCCCAAAGTCACAGAGATGACAGGCACAAGGCACTGTGCCTGCCTAGTCATTAAGCTTCTTCACTAATGTGACATTGGCTGAAATGGAGTCTTGTGAACTTTTCTGTTGAGATAAGGCATTGCCATTCCATCCCCAGATCTTCACCTCCAAGTAGTTAGGATTGTAGGGCTGTAGGTTTCCTAACAAGTACTTGGAGAAGGCATCTGCATGGACAATATTAAAACAATAATCCACCCAAAGTCCAGTAGTCTTCTGTCAGAAGTTTAGATTTGTGCTGGGCACTGGTGGCTCATGCCTGTTATCCTAATTATTCAGGAGGCTGAGATCTGAGGATTGCAGTTCAAAGCCAACCTGGACAGGAAAGTCTGTGAGACTCTTATCTCCAATTAACCACCAGATCAGAAGTGGTGCTGTGGTTCAAGTGGTAGAGCACTTGCCTTGAGCTGAAGGGCTCAGGGACAGTGTCCAGGCCCACAGTTCAAGCCCCACGAATGACAAAAAAAAAAAGTAGTTTATATATGCAATCTTCAGTGGTAAAATTAGCAATTTGTCAATAAGCATGTAACTTTTTTTCCAAAATTATATATTTCTTTACAAATAAACATTACAACATGAACTATAGAAAATGCCAAGGTTGAGTTCCAAAATATTCTGCTTCTGAAGGATATCTTGGGCTCTACTTTAAAGCATTCAGTTTAATCTCAGGGCTTTAAGAACATCTTTGCTTTTCTTGGTTTTATGTTTCCCTTTTCATCTTCTTCATAATTGGCATGATCCCACTTCTTGGTGATTTTTTTTTCCAACTGTGTCCACCAAGGTTTCATATCTTCTGGTCATTTCTTCATCGGACACATCAAGTTGTTTCATCTTCCTCTTCCTCTTCTGCTTTGTTCTTAGCATTCATCTGATGCATTAATTTCTCAACTTCAGGATTAAATCCTCTGAATGACCTTCTTCCATAGAGAAGATCTTCACATGACAAAAAACTCTGCTATTCTAATATGAAACCCTCTCTTTAAGCTCTGGCAAATCCAAATACGAGTGTTCTTCACTAATGATCTTTTCTTCCTCTTCTAGTTGTTTCTTGGTTTCTGAATGCAATCCCTTTCACATGAACTTCATGTGCAGCAGGTTCTTGGACAATTTGGTCTTGTGTTTGGACACCATGCTGGCTCTAGATCCAACCACAAACCCCCAGCAAGCATATGACTTTTTAATGTACTATATTGTGAGATTATGGGTTTTCACTTCTTAATTTTCATTTTTAAAAATTAGAAGGTTGGCTGGAAAGGTGGCTTAGTGGTAGAGTGCTTGCCTAGCATGCATGAAGCCCTGGGTTCAATTCTTCAGTACCACATAAACAGAAAAATCCAGAAGCGGCACTGTGGCTCAAAGTGATGAGTGCTAGCCTTGAGCAAAAGCTCAGGGACAGTGCCCAGGACCTGAGTTCAAGACCCAGGACTGACAAAAACATTTAAACTAAAAAATAAAAATTATAAGGTATTTCACCAAGTTGTTCCATCTGACAAGGTTTTACCTATGATTTATCATGTTAAACAGACTTAACAAGCATTAGTATATTGAAATGCAATTCTCTGCTACTCCCTTTTTTTCCCTTTAGCTCAAGGTAAGTGCTCTACCACTTGAGCCAGTGTCACTTCTGGCTTTCTGGTGGTTAATTGGAGCTAAGAGTCTCATGGACTTTCCTGCCCAGGCTGGCTTTGAGCTGGAATCCTCAGATGTCAGCCTCCTGAGTAGTTAGAATTACATGTGTGAGCCACAGGCACCAGCTTTGATTTTTTTTTTTTTTTTTTTTTTGGTTGGTTGTAGAGCTTGAATTCAGGGCATGGATGCTATCCTTGAGTTTTTTCAATCAAGGAGAACACTCTACCACTTTGAGCCACAGAACTACTTACAGTTTTTTAGTTGTTAGTTGGAGGTAGAGTCTAACAGACTTTCCTACCTGGGGTGGCTTTGAACCACAATCCTGAGATCTCATTCTCCTGAGTAGCTAGGATTACAGGCATGAGCCTTTGGCCCCCAGCTACCCTTGAATTTTTTATGTAGCTGGGTCTGCTTCTTATAAAAGTTTGGTTTTCTGGAAGCAAACAGTGGTTTTCAAATGTTTGCAGTACCATACTGCTAATAATGTGGGCTTTGCGTGTCATAATATAAAAACCACAGCAATAGAGCCTATTGCCATAGGACCTTTAAAAGATGTGGCCCCGAATGCTGGCCTGTTGCCATGCTATTCAGCTTGTACGTTATGTAACTGCTGCTCTTTTCTGACTGTGTAAGTTAGAATGTGCTTGGCTATGTGTACAAGGGAACATGATAGACAATGGTTTTAAATGAGGAATTTTCCATTTTACTTAATAAAAAGTCCAACAACTAGCAATCACTGGTATGCCTGGAAACTCACGCAGTGAAGTCAGCTGTGGTGCAGGGACTTTCCAACCTTGAGTCAGCATTCTCGGCAGCCTGATTTGGTTTTCCAATACCATGTAATCCTAGAGTTCAATGGCTCTTGTGGCCAAGAATCACAAGGCAGGCCTGGCAGGGCATAGCAGCACACACCTAAAATCCTAGCACTCAGAAAGTAGGCAGTAGGGTTGTGAGTTTGAGGCCAGACTGTATACCTCTCATCTATCAGAAAGGGAAGTCTTCCTCAGCATCCTAGAGAGGCTTCTTGTGGTCCCAGCCAGAGCTGTTCACCTGAGCAACAGAATGAGCAACATTATTTGATAAAGATGATACTCACCCTAACTTTAGGTTTTAATCCTCCTCCTTTCCTTCTCACTTTCCTTTCTCTTCTCTCCTTCTCTCTTTCTGTCTGTTTCTCTCTCTTTCTCATAGTGGGACTTGGTTTAAACTCAGGACCTTAAGCTCCTGCTTGGATTTCTTGCTCAAGGTTGGTGCTCTACTCCTTGAACCCTTAAGGGTTCTTATCAGGGCCATAGCCATAGTGTTAGAAATAGGGAGAGCAGCATCAGTGGTCACATGAAGAGGAACATAGGGGGTGATGCTGGCATCTGGTAGGCTGGGCTAACAAAGGCAATTGAAAAAAAGAAGTACTTTTAGACTCATAAGAAAAGATTTCTTTTGGGCTGGGAAGGTGGTTCAGTGGTAGAGTGCTTGCCTTGCGTGCATAGGCCTTGGGTTCAATTCCTCAGCACCACATAAGCAGAAAAAACTGGAAGTGGTGCTGTGGCTCAAGTGGTAGAGTGCTAGCCTTGAGCTGAAGAGCTAAGGGACAGTGCCCAGGCCCAGAGTTCAGGCTCCACAACCGACCCCCAAAAAATAAATACTCTTTTTGACATAAAAGACTCATTCTGTCTGCCTCAAATCCCAATATCATGCTTGACAAGAAACATTGTTTTAGCTAGGTATGGTGGCCGCACCTGTAATCTTTTTTAGCAGTTTTTTTTTTTTTTTTTTTGCCGGTCATGCGGCCTGAACTCTGGGCCTGGACTCTGTCCCTCAGCTCTTCAGCTCCAGGCAAGCACTCTACCACTTGAGCCACAGTGCCACTTCCAGCTTTTTCTGCGTATGTGGTGTTGAGGAATCAAACCCAGGGCTTCATGCATGCAAGGCAAGCACTCTACCACTGAGCCACCTTCCCAGCCCCATTTTTTTTAGCAGTTACCCCTCCACCCCTTGCCCCCCCCCCCCCCCCCCCCCCGCACCTGTAATCTTAAACTCAGGAGGCTGAGTTTGAATCTAGCCTGGGTAACACAGCAAACTTGTGAAGGAGGGGAGGAGAAAGGGAAGTAGGGAGGGAGCTGGCTCATTCTAGTGAGTAATTCGCCCCCTTGTCTGAAGATAGTAGGACCCAAAATCAAGGTGCTGTCAGCCAGAACATGGCTCCCAGCAGGGCACTGCACAGTCCCCAGGCTCAAGTGGGGGGAGCGGCAAGGCCCAGCTGCTCTCACCCCACCTTCAGAACTGAGACGTTCGTTGCTTAGTCACTCAGTCCATGACACTTCGTTGAGGCAGCTAGATGAGCTAAATGCTTCCTATTCATATCTTACACATTCTTAAATCAATGGAGAAAGAAGTTATAGGACAAATATTAGAAAGAGACCAATTTATTTTACATAAGTGTAACTTAATAGTGGGTGAAAGTTATGACAGGAATTCCATTACACTTGATACCTTCTTTGAAATGATATGTTGAAGCTGACTGGATATTGATTCTAAGATATTGCAGTAGGCTTCACCCGCTATTCAATCCATATTTATTGCTCATAGACTTACAAAGTTTTTCTGTAATACTTTTGTTAGTATTGGTAGGTTTGATTAGGACACTTTCCCCTGTATTTTCTGGAAGTTAGAGGTTATTCTATTATGCTTGAAGCTTTGGCTCAGATGACCGACCACCAGATGGCTCCACTACAAAATGTGCTCTCTTCACAATGACAAAAAAGCCCCAAACATAAAAGATCGAAGTCCATTTTGGTGCTTGTTTGATGAATTCTGATATGCACACCTGGGTAACCAGGATACAGAGTGTATCCATTTCTCCCCCAAAGTTCTCTTATTTTCCTTTGTCCCTTCCTTTCCTAGCCAACTTCTACTCTGAAATCTACCCCAAGGATGTTTTGTCTTTTCTCCTAAATCCTGTTGGTGTGCCCAACCAAAATATTACTGTGTTCAAGCACAAAATCACTCATCTCCCCTAAGAGTAGAAACAGTTAATTCTCCAAAAAGTCCTGAACATTTTTAGCAGGAAATGTAATTTAGGAAGCTAAGATGTGGATACTGGGTACTCATTTCTACTAGGGGATCAAAACTGCTTTATCTGGAAAAGTTCTAACCTGAAAGTCCAGTATCCCTGGAAAACCCCTCCGTTTCTGGCAAGCAGGGACAGCTGTTCATTGTCACTTCTAAGCCCTTCAGTACACAGAACTTGGACATTAAAAAAAGTTTTTTTCTTTTTTTTTGTCGGTCGTAGGGCTTGAACTCTGGGCCTGGGCGCTGTCCCTCAGCTCTTCAGCTCAAGGCGAGCACTCTACCACTTGAGCTACAGCGCCACTTCCGGTTTTCTGGTGGTTTATTGGAGATAGGAGTCTCATGGTCTCTTCCTGCCCGGGCTGGCTTTGAACCGAGAACCTCAGATCTCAGCCTCCTGAGTAGCTAGGAATACAGGCGTGAGCCACCAGCGCCCGGCTAAAAAAAGTTTTATTTTTCAAACAGAATATTTTAATTGTACAAAATGAGTTTCATTATGATTGGTTGTGTATGTGTTGGCACTAGTCTTGAACTCAAGGCTTTGCACTTTTGTGTGGCTTTTCACTCAAAGCTGATGCTCTAGCACTTGAGCCTTACCTCCACTTCTGGCTTCTTATGGACTTTTCCTAGTCTAGCTTTGAATCCTGAATACCTGCCTGAGTAGCTAGGATTACAGATGATGTAAGCCACCAGCACCTGGTTTGTCTATTTGTTTGTTTTTGCTGGTCCTGGGGCTTGTACTCAGGGCCTGGGCACTAGAGCCACAGCACCACTTCTAGCTTTTTCAAAGTAGTTTATTGGAGATATTTCATGGGTTTTCCTGGCTTCGAACTGCAATCCTCAAAATTCAGCCTCCTGAGTAGCTAGGATTAAAGGTGTATGCCACTGGCAACAAGCAACAAGTCATTTTCATAGATGCATATAATAAGCTTTGATCATACTCTTTCGTTATCCTCTCTTGTCCCTTATCCAGGCCTTTTAGGACACTTAATCTTTAAAATCATGTGTCCATGGCAAAGCACTTGTCTAGCATATAAATGGACCCAGATTCAATCCTCAGCACTTCAAATTATAATTATAAACCAAGCCATCAGCGGTTCCCACCCATAACTAATTACTCGGACCTTCAAGATCAGTCTGAGTCCAGCCCAGACAAAAAAAGTTTGCTAGAGAACCTGACAGAAACAGTAGTAGTGCAGCTCAAGTGGGAGGCTTTAGTAAACACAAGGGCCAGAGTTGAAACCCCAGCATATTGCTTTAAAAAAAAAAGTCATATGTGGGCTGGGAATATGGCTCAGTGCTACAGTGCTTGCCTAGCATGCATTAAGTCCCAGGTTCGATTCCTCAGTACCACATAAACTGAAAAAGTTGGAAGTGGCACTGTGGCTCAAGTGGTAAAGTGTTGGACTTGAGCAAAAGAAGCTCAGGGACAATGCCCAGGCCCTCTGTTCAAGCCCCAGAACAGGCAAAAGAAAAAATCACATGTCCAAATTAATATCTTGAATTTAATTTTTTTATTTTTTTCCTGTTGAACTTCTGTGGCCTTTATGTATCTAATTTTTTCTTCGTTGGCAAGTCTTTACATAAAATAACATTAAAATATTGGTGCTACAATGTAAACATAGCAATAATATTACTATATCACTGGTTTAAACACTTGAGTTGAAACCAATTTGATTTAAGAGTTGATATGTTTCACTTGCTTTCCACTCTGGGGCTTGTTTCCTTTTCAGTAAATAAAACCTTAAATTTAGACAAGTCTTGCTTTCATTCTCTCTCTCCCTTCTCTTGGGAGCCAACTATATTAAATCTCTACATCCTTCCAACCTTCTCCCAGTGAACGTGTTATCTACTTCAGCACCGTGCTTTATTCACTTAATCAAGGACTCTTTCCAAAGCAATACATAATTATTTTCTTCATTGGGTGTCTATATCTAAAAAGCTGGCAGGGAGCCGGTGGCTCACACCTATTATCCTAGCTACTTAGGAGGCTGAGATTTGAGGATCATAGTTCAAAGCCAGCCTGGGCAGAAAAGTCCTATCTCCAGTCTTATCTCCAGTCAACCACCACAAAACTGGAATTGGCACTGTAGCTCAAGTGGTAGAGCACTCGCCTTGAGCTGCAGAACTGAGGGACAGTGCCCAGGCCCAGAGTTCAAGCTCCACGACGGACAAAGGAAAAAAAAAAACTTTTTGCACTTTTGGGGTTATTTCCACACTTTTGTTGTGAGAGCACTTCAAAAAGTAATCTTGTCTTACATACACTCCATTTGTGGCGGTGCATCTTCGGTACAAGGCGAAGCCTAAAGGAGAAATCGCAAGGTATCATTCTGTGACACCACAGGGATTCAACCGCCTTCCATTCCGAGAGGGCAACGTAATTTCAGTGTGCATTTCCACGGTAGGCGGGGCCCAGCATCCTTTCCTTTTCTGTTTGGCCAGTTGTGGGGCTTGAACTGAGGGTCTGGGTGCTGTCCCTGCGCTCTCCAGCTCAAGGCGAGCGCTCTACCCCTTGAGCCACAGCGCCAATTTCTGGTTTTCTGGTGGTTTATTGGAGATAAGAGTCTCACGGACTTTCCTGCCGGGCTGGCTTTGAACCGCGATCCTCGGATCGCAGCCTCCTGAGTAGCTAGGATGACAGTGAGCCACGGGCACCCGGCCAAGCATCCTTTCTTCATTACGGACCCGCGCTTTCTCCTTCTGGGACTTCTTCCCATCCTCCCCTTCGGCACCTTTCCTCTCCGACCTCTCCGGTGAGCCCGTTACACACTCACTTTGCACCGCGATTCCTCACCTCGAGTCCCAGCCCGGTCGGTCGCCGCCCTCCAGTTCCGGAGCCGCCGGGTAGGAAGGACCACCCGCCCAGTGCGCTCCGGCCCGGCCCCGGCTCCGCGCGGGACGACGACCGCCGTCTCTAGCTTCGGGCGGACTAAGCCCTCGCCATGGCGAGCTGCGGCGACGCAGCGCCCCCCTCCAGCGGGGCAAGCCCGCCTAAGCTTCGCCCGCAGAGACGTCCGCGACGCCGGGCCGCGGCCCGAGCCGCTGCGGCGGGGAGACCCGGCCCCGCCCGGGGACGCGCGCGCGGCTCCCGCCCGGCGGTGACCCGCAGCGGCGTCCCCACGTGCGGAGCCTCGCGAGGTGAGGCCCAGCCCGGCTCCCAGGCAGCTGACGCGCGGAAGCATCACGCACGGGTGTGCGCCGCGCAGCTCGGCCCAATCAGGCTTCGCTTTGCCCAGATCCCTCCGCCCAGGCCGCACCGCAGCCGCAGGTGGCTCCGACGAGCGCGCGGACGGGCGGCTGCCGCCCCATGATGCCTCGCGCCGACCTCCGACCTCAGTGGCCCGCCCCTCGCTCCGGCCGCCTCCCTTCCCACCCGCTCCGAGCTTGCTGAGCCCCGGCGACGGCGGCGGCGGCGGCGGCGACGGCGGCGGCGGCGGCGGCGCGCGCGCCAGGCTCCCGGAAAGGCCCCGGTGTGCGTCCCGGGCGCGGCTTGCTCCTTCACGCCTCGAGACCCCGGCCGGGCCGGGTCGGCGGCCGGCCTCGTCTCCCCTTCCTCCCCCGGCGGCGCCCGGCCGCGGGCGGGTGACCGAGGCCGCGCCGAGGAGCGGCGGCTCGGTGAGTGCGCCGGGCGGTCACGGCGGGCGGCGGCGGCGCGTCCGGGCCGGCGCAGGGCGGGGCGGAGCCGGGCCGGCGGCAGGGCGGGGCCGGGCCGGGCGGCGGGGCCTGGTTTCCTCCCTCAGCGCCATTTTGAGGCAGCGAGACCCGCAAATAAAGGGGAGTGCTGGCCGGAGCGCGGCGCGGCCGGCGGCGGCCTGGGCGGCGGCGCGGCCTCGGCCTGGGTGACTGGCGGCGCCCGCGCGGCCCGGCTCTGGAGAGGTAGGTGCGGCCGGCGCCGGGGAACGGCGGGGCCCGGGGAGGCGGCACGCGAGGCCCGCAGGCCCACTCGGGCTCGGCCGGCGCCGGCCTCCCGTTAGCCGCCGCCGCTTGCAGCCTGCGGAGACATTGCCGCCTCCCGAAGCCATCACGCCCGTGACCCCGAGGCTCCCCGGGATCCGGCCTCGAGCCGGGAGGCCGCCCTCTCGGGGCTGACTGGCCGCGCTCCGCCTTTCCCCGCCCTGCCGCCCCCTCCCACCACCTCCCCCGCCGGGAACCGGGCGGAACAAACGGGCCCTGCGGGGGGGGGGGGGGAGCGGGGGATGCGGGGTTCCTTTACCGGATCTCGCGTCCCACGTCTCGGGGTAGCTCCGTGCTGCAGCCGCCCGCTCCCGTAGACTCCCGCTTACAAATGGGAGCTGGCGGCGAGCAGCCAGGTAGCCGGGGAGGAGGAGGTTTGTTGACAGTTTCGTGGACGTCCTCGGGAACTCGCATCTAGGAGCTCGGTGCAGCTGTTTCTATTAGGTTGTTAGGTTTTCGTTTTTTCCCCCAAACCGTTTTTCGGAGGTCGTGGATGTAGAGCGGAAAGGCTCAGCTTCTGGCGCATTTTTATTTTATTTAGTTCTTTGGGGGACGGGGCCAGGGGAGGAGATGCTGGGGATTGAACCCAGGGAAGGAAGGGCCTCGTGCATGCTCCGGCCAGCGCTCTGCTACCGAGCTGCACATTACACCCTGGGCCCAAACTTAATTTGATGAAGAGTAAATTTCTTTGATTTCAAAAGATTACATAAATCTTAACGGATGGTCAAACACAAAACTATTCTTTGGTAGAAAAATGCTAGGATGCGCACTTTTCAACCACGTATTTACGTTTTATCTAGTTTTTAATCTATATCTAGCTTTTAATCCAGTTCGTGTTTCTGAGAAAGTGAGTCACACACTTGTCACTGATTCGTCTTGTTTTTATTTTAAAATTTGACCATTTGCTTTCTCTACCATATCAGTTCCTCCCCCCCTCCCCCCTCCACCCCTTGGTGCCAGTCCTGGAGTTTGAACTCGGAACCTGGGTGCTATCCCTGAGCTGCCCACGACTAGCATTCTACTACTGCTCCACTTCTAGTTGTTTTTGGTGGTTAATTGAAGCTAAGAGTCGTGTGTGTGTGTGTGTGTGTGTGAGTGTGTGTGTGTGTGTAAGGGGTCTTGAACTCAGTGTCTGGTGTTATTGCTTGGCTTTTTTAGTTCAAGGTTGGTGTTGTACCACTTCCATCTCCACTTCAACCGTTTTGTTGTAGGTTAGTTGGAGATAAGAGTCTCACAGTCTTTTCTGCCTTAATTGCCTTTGAATCAGGGTATCTCCCACTTTTTTGTCTCTGAATACTTTTTTCTTTGCTACTAAATTTGGAGAAGGTTTCAGTATTCCCATAATAGTATAACCTATTGGATATAATATTAAGATGTTTGATCAGACGACAATTCAGTTTTATAAATGGAAGTTCTTTGCCTTTGAGGATGTAGCTGATGAAAAGTAGGGTTCACTCCTAAATGTTAGTTTTTTTGCGTTTATGAGAAATCCATGTATAGCATTCTTATGGTTTTGGAAACATTGAGATTTGCAACACTTCATGAGGCAGGCAAAAATTGGAATCCTCTTTTTGCTGAATTGGAAGCTTGCAACCTAGAGTTAAGTGACTTGAACAAGATTGTACATGACTGACAGAAAAGGAAAAGGAAAAAATGGTTTAATGCCTAACCACTACCCTTTCTAACTCAGTGCTAAGGCTGTGATTTCTTTTTTCTTTTCTTTCTTTCTTTCTTTTTTTTTTTTTTTTTTGCCAGTCGGGAAGCTTGAACTCTGGGCTTTGAACATTGTCCCTGAGCTCTTCTGCTCAAGACGAGCACTCCACTACTTGAACTACAGCGCCACTTATTGGACGATTTCTTGCACTCAGTTTTGATTCTTTTCAGTGAGGTACATGCCTTCTTGCTGAAGATGTGTTGAATGATGTTTGCCTTTGTAAAGGAAAATCTGAGTTGTCTGACTTGGAAGCATAATGCTAAGATCGGGATGTGAGGCATCTAGAGTTAATAGTGGTTCCTACTTTCTAAATTTGGGTTGCCTTATCTCTAAACTATCTGCATAAATAAATAAAACATTTACATTATTTAAAAATGAATTATCCTAAACTTGATAAAATTTTGCTTCCAAAATAGTTTGAATTTTTCTGTTTTACTTTTCTTGGCATTTTCATTCTTTAGACAACCTCAACTATTGTTGAGGATGGGGACAGTGAAAGAATTATCCATCTTTATTAATTGCCAACTTTGAGGCATTGAATTTAGGGACCTGACTCCAATATATTAACTAAGTGACTTTAAGTCGTATTTTTTTTTTTCTTTTTTACTTTTTTTTTTTTTTTTGGTTGGTTGTGGGGCTTGAACTCTGGGCCTGGGCGCTGTCCCTCAACTCTTCAGCTCAAGGCTAATGCTCTACTTCTTGAGCCACAGTGCCACTTCCAGTTTTCTGAGTGGTTTATTGGAGATAGGAGTCTCGGACTTCTCCTGCCTGGGCTGGCTTTGACCAAGATCCTCAGATCTCAGTCTCTTGAGTAGCTAGGGTTACAGGCATGAGCCACTGATGCCCAGTCCAGATTTGTTCTTAAAACCTAGAATATTCTTTGTGTCTATTGATTTTAGATGATTATTGCACTTATGAGGCTAAAAATGCCTGAGGAACATAAGTTTCTTATCACAGTCATGCAATGTGAATGTGATGGGAATTAGGTTCTATTGACCAAATTGAATGTTGCAGATGCTTTTTAACATTTAAGCCTATTCTAATTTGCCTTTTATTTTGAATCCATTTAACTGTTGAGGCATATCATAGGATTTTTTTTGGTGTGGGGGGCAGGTCCTGAGCCTTGAACTCTGGGCCTGGAGCAGTGTCCCTAAACTCCTTTTGCTCAGGGCTAGCACTCTACCACCTGAGCAACAGCACCATTTCTAGTTTTTTTGTGATTAAGAGTCTCATGTACTCTGCCTGTCCTGGCTTTGAACTGTATTCGTCAGCCTTCCTAAGTAGCTAGGATTTGCAGGTATGAGCTGCTGTTGCTTGTCTTGCTGAGTTTCTTTAGGATGTTTTCATATGTATATGTGTATTTTATGTATATATGTTTATTTGCAATCTTTCTAAGTTATTTACCCTCTTTCCCCTTCTAAGTAGTCCCTTAGATTTATATTCTGAGTTTATCCACACATACAATTTATTTATGTATCAGTGTGATGTATCCTTCTGGCCATTTTCCTGTAAATTCCATGGTTTCATTTTTCCTTGTGATCAATCGACTCCCCATTCTTAGTTATCAAAGTTGAATACCCTTTTATAGAACTGCTTTATGTGTTTCCTACACTTATAAATCCCCTTAATCTTTTATTGCCACTTAAGCTTTCAGTTAATCATCTTTCTATGGAATAAGAATCTAGGGTGACTATCAGGATGTGACTATCATGTAATAAAACTTAAAATGCAATTACTGAATAACATGGGTTTTCACTTTGCAACTACAATTCTATGCTGAGGTGGTAGGATGGTTGATAACTAGATAATATAGGTAGACACAGTAATCTTCATGGTAAATTAGCTGTTCTCAAACTGATTTATTGAGTTCTACTACAATTATCTGTTATATTAGGGTTGGTGTTCTCAAAAATTTGTTATGGCCTGATCACTTGGGTTAGCTCTAGAAACAACTGGGTTGACTTATTTAAATAAACTCACCTTTGTGATTTTATATTAAACAGAGCAAATATATTTATTCATACTTTCCTTATCCTGTCTTAGTGCCTAGGACGCAGAGATATTAGAAAATGAAATACTTCTTCATTATGGAGCTTTGAGCTCATTACTGAAGTTTTTGGAAAACATAAGTATAAAATGTCAAGAACTATGAGGGTATAGCAAAAGATAGGTATGCACTATTTTCAGTAAAATAAGAAGCCTCTTAGAGGATTTAACAAAAAATGTAGATATACACATTAGGTAGTTCAAATGGCTAGATGTTCATGTTATTTTAGGTCTGAAACTGGGACTCCAACTCAGTACCTGCTGCTTTCATTTATTGGCTA